CAACTTGCCCTGGCGAGTTGGCACAGCTGTGCCAACTCGCCCTGGCGAGTTGGCACATGTATGTTGAATACACGTTGGTGCGCCAACTCACCAGGGCGAGTTGGCACAGCTGTGCCAACCTCTCCTGGCGACTTGTAGCATCTGTGCCAACTTGCCCTGGCGAGTTGGCACATATCAGTGCGCCTGCGACGTCAGTGCAGCTACTCCGTCCGTCCACGCACACATAGCCAACATATCTGCTCCATCATCCTCCTCCTCCTTACTCCTCAGCTCCTCCTCCAACTTCAATAATTAAGTGGTCATGCTCTTGCTGTCGCAGTTCCGACATCCACCATTGACTAAGGCTGGGCCGACCTGACTCGACGACGACGACGACGACGACGACGACGACGACGACGACGACCACGACCACGACCACGACGACGAGGAACAGGGGAGGGAACACTTTTGAGAAACAGTGCAGTAGTGCAGAAATTCTCAAAAGTGTTCCCTGGCCGTTTTCCATTGGCCAGGGCGAGTCAAATCGACCGCGACGACGACGTCGAATGCGACGTCGACGTCGACGTCGACGTCGACGTCGACGGTGTCTTAACATTTCCCCCGACTTTGGGGGAAAAGATACCGACGACGACGACGACGCCGACGACGACGATGACGACGACGACGACGACGACGACGACGACGACGACGACGGGGGCTGCGTTGTTTCGACGGACGCCCGAACACTGCGATCCCACAGCCTCGTCCCCTGAGAGGCGCACGCACTGCCGAGCTACCCTGATCGCGATCCGTCCCAGAACATGCGGAACAGACTTGCGACGCAGCTGCTGGGACCTACGAGGAGGGAGATGAGGATAAGGTTATGGAGGGATGCTGAGGAATGACTGGGGTGTGAGGGACAGGGATGGGATGACGAGGAAGCGGGGGACCTTAGAGAGCAGGACCTCACTCACATTCACTCGGTGGTCTGGCTCTGTACGTCGTACCAGTTCTGCAGCGTCGCGGCTGCCCTGTCAGCCTTCTCCTGCATCTGCACGTAGGTCTCGGCTTTGATCGACAGCGTGCGAACAGTGCGCTTGCCCGCCAAATTTGTCTCCGAACGCACCGCCGTCCTGTACGGCATGTACGTCACGTTGGGCTGCGTGATGACAGGCTCCCACGCTGGGTCGAGCGTGTCGGGCGCGGGTGCCTTGGCCAGCAGGTCGATGTTCTCGGGGCGCATCTCGATGGCCAACTTCGTCCTGCCATAGGCCGCAGACATGACCGTGACGGTGTGACTGTGGCCATCGCAGTCCTTCACCTCGATGTCGCACCACGTCGAGATCTTGTCCACCAGCTCGCGCTTAGCCCTCTTCGGAGCTGGCCCATCTCCTGCCGATGCTGCTCCCGCGTCAGCGCCACCAGGTTGCTGCATCAGCGGGTCATTCTCCTCGGCGGCCTCGACTTCGCGCATCATATCCAGACTCTTGGAGTCGCGCAGCTTCTGGAGAATATCCAACATGCCGAACTTCTTGTTAACGACCCTAGCGAAGCCGCAGTTCAGTTTATCGCATACGACGAAGCGCTTGCCGTCCCTGACAATCACCTCAGCCATCCAGCTGTTGGAAGGCTTGGGGACGGGAGCGGTGGAGATCATGGCCCAACCCTCGGCGATGGTAGCGGGCATTGCAAATTCAAACGAGGAGGCGAGTTGCCTGAAAGCCGACGCACGCTTGAGCAGAAAACGGCTATGGTGGAGGAGGGGGTGGTCACGAGGGAGGGTCTGGAGGGATAAGCCTCGTAAGGGGGCAATGCGTGGTTCGACCCAGGGGGCACGCACGGTACTCGCACCAAGCGGGTCGAGCGGAATATTTGGCCGTGGTCTGGTCCCTCGCCCGCCTCTGCTGCAGCGTTGTTTATTGTGGGTTGTGCGTTGTGCACGTGTGTGTGTGTGTGTGTGTGTGTGTGTGTGTGCGTGTGTGTGCATGTGCGTGCGTGTGTGTGTGCGTGCGTGTGAGTGTGCGCGCGCATCGTTTTTTTTTTTTTTTTTTTTTTTTTTTTTTTTTTTTTTTTTTTTTTTTTTTTTTTTTTTTTTTTTTTTTTTTTTTTTTTTTTTTTTTTTTTTTTTTTTTTTTTTTTTTTTTTTTTTTTTTTTTTTTTTTTTTTTTTTTTTTTTTTTTTTTTTTTTTTTTTTTTTTTTTTTTTTTTTTTTTTTTTTTTTTTTTTTTTTTTTTTTTTTTTTTTTTTTTTTTTTTTTTTTTTTTTTTTTTTTTTTTTTTTTTTTTTTTTTTTTTTTTTTTTTTTTTTTTTTTTTTTTTTTTTTTTTTTTTTTTTTTTTTTTTTTTTTTTTTTTTTTTTTTTTTTTTTTTTTTTTTTGTTTTTTTTTTTTTTTTTTTTTTTTTTTTTTTTTTTGTTTTTTTTTTTTTATTTTGTTTTTTTTTTTTTTTTTTTTTTTTTTTTTTTTTGTTTGCTTCCTTCCCCCGCGGCATCGGGGATAAGGACCTTATCCCCGCTTTGATCCTGGGCCTCACACCCAGGCTGTTTGTCAGAGAGGCCCCGACAGGACGACGACGAACGACCAAAACCACAGGCGGCCAATGGGACCAACGCTAGACCAGAATGCACCGCATAGACCTGAACGACGACGACGACGACGACGACGACGACGACGTCGACGACGACGACGACGACGACGACGACGACGACGACGACGACGACGACGGCGCGACGCGGCGTGGACACACGTTGTTTTTTTGGCTGTTTTCCCCTGCTGATTTTGGTGTTTTCCTCTGCGGATTTTGTGTTTTTCGGGGATGTCCGTTTCCCAAAACAACCACGACGAATACTGAAAGTCGGAGGCAGGATGGGGGAGGACGAGGAGGAGGAAGAAGAGGAGCAGGGGAGCGACGAGGATTGCAATGACGAGCAATCGAGGCGCCTAGACACGGGGACAGAGACGGTGACGCAGGGGAGCAGCGGGATATGTGCCGCCTCCCCCATCGTCGTGCATCTTCATGTTCTTGCTCTTCCTCCTCCTCCACCTCCTCCTCCTCAGCCAAGGTCGATCAATCCGTGAGTTGATTCGAGCCGCCGTTGTCCCCAGGGCCCAAACAGCGCTTACACTGAGGGTTGTCATTTCCGTTGGGCGTCGTCGTCGTCGTCGTCGTCGTCGTCGTCGCCGTCGTCGTCGTCGTCGTCGTCGTCGTCGTCGTCGTCCTCATCCTTATCTTCCCCTCGCCATCACTCGTTTTACTTCATTGTTATTTACCTTCCCCCTCACTCATATATCTTCGGCTTTTGTTTTGCAAGGGCTGGGGCGCTACCGCGTTAACCTGGCGTGCGCAAGCTGTATTGTCCGAGGTCTAGGCGAGGCGTTGGGGGGGGGGAGGTAGAGGGTCGTCGATATCTCTAAGGATGGGCACAAGAGAGGCGCAACAAAAGAAGACGTGCTGCAACTGATTCGCAGCAAAGCCCGAAGCCCGTGCCATCTCGGAAACGCTTATTGATAAGTTACAGGCGGGCTTCAGCTGGCCTGCCCAGAGCCACTGGCCGCATCCTTTTTGCGGAGGGCTGGGCGCAACAGCTTTGCGCCCTTCTCGAGAGCCGTCGGATTATACAGCACAGGGATCGCCAAGTCCACAATGGGGCTTGCAGTGCTGATGCCATCTTTCTTGGCAGCTGCTTGCCCCTTCAGCTCCACACGCATTGCAGCCGCCAAGGTTGGCTCCTCCCCATCGGGCGCCTGGGGAATCGCCCAGTAGGGCACAAACAGCGCCCCCTGCTGTTGAGGGGAACGCAGGCAAGGGCCCAAAAAGGCAGCGTGCTTATCAGGAACGCCATCGATGTGTATAGTGACACCTGACTCTGGAACCTTCTTGCATGGGACCACTCCAATTGAAGGGGTCAAAGGAATCAGCATCAAAGCACCCTTGTCGCATGCGCGATTCGTCGCAACCCCCTCGACCGCAAACTTCGGAGTCACCTTGTATTTAACTGAAAGCTGGACCGTCTTGGCCGTAATGCGATAAGCGTGTGCCAACCCCTCACGAATGTGGCTCTTGATGCTCTCGATCTTGATGTCCTGGTGGTCCTTCGGGGCACCCCTCCCCAACTGCCCCCTCGAAATAGGGGGGCCGTCCTCCACGCCTTCCCCCTCCTCCTCCTCCTCCTCCTCCTCCTCCTCCTCCCCCTCATCATCCTACTACTACTCCTCGTCCTCCTACTCCTCCTCTCCGCCCTCCACATCCTCATCGTCCTCCTCCTTCTCCCCCCCCCCCCCCCCACCCCTATATGATTCCCCTCCTCCTCCTCGTCATCCTCGTGTTCACCCTTATCCTCCTCCATCCTCAGCCTCCCTCCTCCTGCCTCCCCAATGCCTCCATCGTCTCATCATCCTTGCGCCCCTCCTGCTCCAGCTCCTGCTCTTGCTCCAGCTCTAGCTCCTGTTCCAACTCCTTAACGAACTCGGTCGACGCACGATAGTCTAGGCTCGATTGCGCGCGAATGATGTCGAGAGGTCTGATGCGGAGATCTCGCCAATACAGTTCGCCTCGCTGTCGTCGTTATCCTGCTCATCCCACCCATTGCGCTTCTCCTCCCAATCCTCCCTCCCCCGCCCCTGCTTCTATCGCAGAAATGCTTGAGGCGCATCGGGGAAGGGGGAGGGGTCAAGCCGGCTATTTTGCGACAAAATCAACGCGAAATTTTTGGGGAGGGGGTGGGGTGGGGGCGGGATACGCGTGTCAAGCCAGCTCTGTTGGGGCAGCGTCAATTTGTGACAGACTGTGCGCGGTTTTAATGTGTGTGTGTATGCGCGTGTGCGTGTGTGTGTGTGTGTGCGTGTGTGTCTGACGGAGCCGCGGGAAGCATGTTACATTTATGGGTGTATGCGTATATGCATGTATGCACGTGTACTTCCGCGTTTGTTATATATGTTTATAGGTCACATATAAACCCATATACTGCGCATGTAAATACCTACACACATAAATCCACCCTGGGTTTGACTGCGAGCGGACGGCGGTCCAGCATGCCCAGCTCGGGGTCGACCTGGAACGTGTGCACCTCCACGCGAGGAACGGCCTGGGGGGGCGGCGGGGGCCAACAGAGGAGAGAGGATGATGATCAGGGGGGCTAAAGAGGAGGAGGAGAAGGAGGAGGAGGAGGAGGAGGAGGAGGAGGAGGGAGCTCAAGGAGGAGGGGGAGGATGAGGAGGAGGAGGGGGAGGAGGAAGAGGAGGAGGAGGAGGAGGGGGAGGAGGAGGAGGAGGAGGAGGTGGAGGCTGCCTTGTACAAGTCCATCAGCACCCCAGTAGGCACCGTCACGATGCCAGTCTCCTGCTCGGTCTTGACCTTCTTCGCGCGCTTGGGGGTCTGCTCCTGGGTCTCGTCGACGATCGGCTTCAGCAGCGCGATGCCGTTCTCGATGGAAACCAGCGTCCACTTCATCTCAGCGTTGTTGGCGACCGTCTTCTTAAGGGCCACTTCGACGTCCTTCGCGAAGCCTGCCGCCGCCAACGTAGACGTCCCAACGGCTCCTGACGCATCGAAGGACCGAATGGATTCAGCTCGTGCAGCCTTCGGCGCCACGGTCTCCTGTGGTTCGCCCAAGGGGAACTTCACGTCAGACAACTCTGGGGCCAATGACCTCAGACTCCTCACGAAATCGTCCGTCACCTCCTTGAGGCTGCTGTACTGTTTCCTTTTCTTGGCTTTCTTGTTCATGATGTGCACGATGCCGTTGACCTCCAGCTCGCCGAGTATGCGCGCGAAGTCGGGTTGTCGAAGCCTGGGCAGGTGTTTAGGTTTGACCTCGGTCTCGTAGAACCTCTTGCACGTCCTCGCGATGTCGACGAAACGGATACAGTCAGCCCGCTTAGACGTGATAGTTGACTGCACGTCGGTACTACTGAGCAGCGTAGATGTTCCATTTTTAACTGCGCTGTCGGGGCTCGTAAAAGCTGCCTTAACCATGCCGATGATCACCTCTGGCCCTGAGGAAAACTCAATCTGCCCAAGCATCTTGAACGTGGCCCCAGACACGGAGACGCGATGCTTGATGGTCTTGGACCATGCGTCCAAGTCTTTTAGCCATATGGCGTTGTCACCGCCACTCGACTTCTCAACAAATGTGGCCATTCCCCGACACTGCCCTTGCATCCATTCCATTTTGGCCTCGATGGCAGCGGCCACTGCGTCCCACTTATAATCTCCGCTCTGCTTGAAGTTCGCCGGCGACTTGCGGTGTATCTCCATTAGGGCTTGGAGCGGGGTCGCCAACCTATCAGCGTTGTGGCCGTCGTTCCCGCACTCCACCAGGAACATCGGGAGCTCGGGGGCTCTGTCCATAAGCTCGCGCCTCAACACTGTCCACTCGAAGCCCTCTTCCAAGGCACGCTGGATCGACGGGCAATTGCCAATGACCCTTTCACGGGCACCAAATGCATTTAACAACATCGCGTGTCAATCGGGTACCCCCCATCTTCGTTCTCAAGCCCATTGGGGTTAATGGGTGGCCCCCTCTTCTTATTCCCCCTCCTCCTGCGCCTCCACCTCTTGCCCGCCGTCCTCATGACCCCCCCTCCTCCTCGTCCTCCTCTCCCTCCTCCCCCTCCCCCTCCCCCTCCTCCTCCTCCTGCTCCTCCTCCTCCTCCTCCTCCTCCTCCTCCTCCTATTCCTCCTCCTCCTCCTCATCATCATCGTCATCATCTTCCCTCCTCTCCCTCCTGGGGCAGGGGGTGCAATGATGGGCGCGATGCCGTCAAAGCATTTGGTCCCTTCGCCGCCGAGCTCGGTTCCACCTGCCGTCCAACGACCACGGCTCCTCTGCCCAAGTGGCGCACCCGTGGTTGACGGCCTTCACGAACTGGACAGTGTGGTTGCACGCAACGGCCACGGCTCGAGCATCGTGAGACACGGGGGCAAGCTGCTCATCGCTGTCGCGCACGAGTATCCTATTGAACTCCAGCTCGCTGTCCGTGATCTGGAAGCACACGGGGTTGTCGAGCTTGCTGTCCACCCACCCCTGGCTCAATATCTTCTCGCCCAAAGCAATCATGTCATATGGGTCGCAACCAGCTTCGAACCTATTCCCACTATAAGAAGCCAACCAATCGGGATGCATCTTCTCTTTCCAACCAAGCTTGTGCTCCACCAAGAACTTGCATATCTCGTTGCCCTTAGCTTTCATCTGGGTCCTGGCACCATCGCTTGCCATCATTTTGAGAAGCATTGGCACTGCGAGATCAAGTGCCTTCTCGACGGAGAATGATCCGTCGTGCATTGTGCACCAGGAGAAGTGATGTGCTTGAACACAGGGTAGCAAGAGGCTCGGGCACAAATTGGTTTTGGAAAAAACTGGAGGAGGAGCAGCATCAGCAGGAGTAGGATCCACAGGAGGATGGGAGCCTCCCCCCCCATGCACGATATCTGAATGAGCCCACAACGGTTCGAACATCCAGAAATACATGGTGGTAGTCCAGAAGACGATGTAGGAAATCCGCAAATCTATGTTGGATTTCCAGAAATCAATGTTGGAAATCATGAAGCCGATGTCAAAAATTCAGGATTACAGATTCGAAAATCAAACTTGGGAGGGCGAGCTAAGTAGGTTACTAACCTAGTTGGCGCCCCCGTAACCTGGTTAGTAGGACTTAGCCATATCCTCAGTAACTTGGTTCGGCGGTTACGCTAAGTAGGTTGGTAAACGACTTGTGAAATCATAACAGTTTACATATCCGCCGACCCCTTGGGGATCATCGGCGTGTGAGATGCTTCCCCCTCCCCAAACCCCTCCCCCGGGAGCCCGGTCCGGTCGATTTGGAGGGGGGGGGGGGGGTCCGGCGCGAGCGGGGGGGGTCCGGGACGAGCGACTCACGGGGCTTTTCCGGGCCCAAGAGGGCCTCAAGACGGGCCAAGAAGCCCCCAAGAGGCCTCCAAGACGGCCCACGAAGGCCCCGAGACGCCAAACGACCGCTCCAAGACGCCCAAGATGGCCCAAAGACGGGCCAAGAGGTCTCCAAGACGGCCCCCGAGGTCCCAAACAAGCCTCCCAAGAGGGCCCCAAGAGTCTAAAATTGTTGATTTTCCATAGTGTTTTCCGATGTTTTTTGCTTTTCCGCCTTTTCGGCTTCCCGACGCTCCAAGACGGCCAAAGAGGCCTCAAAGACAGCCCCAAGATGGCCCAAGAGGCCCCCAAGACGGCCTCCAGACGGCCCAAGACGGCCCCAACACGGCCCAAGAGGTCCCCAAGACGGCCCAAGAGGGCTCCAAGACGGCACCAAGAGGGGCCCAAGAGGGCGACCAAACATGTTGAAACTATAGCTTTCTGCCCCCAGGAGCCCCAGGGGGCCCCAAGAGTGCCCCAAGAGGCCCCCAGAGGCCCTCACGAGGCCGCCCAGACGCCCCAAGGAACCCCCAAGAAGCACCCCAGAGGCTCCGAAACGGCCCCCAAGTGGTTCCAAAACTCGCTTTTCACCCCTTCGCAGCTTCTACTACCCCCAGATTGGCATAAACAAGGGGTCGGCGGTGTGGCGTAAGCCTAAGAATCTAGCTATCCATTTACAGCTGGTGCTAACCATGTTGCGGGTATGTAAGAGGTTATAAGAAGTTAGGAGGAAGTTGGTAAGATGATATAACTTGTTATAAAGAACTTACCTACATAGCAAACACCCCGAGGATTCAAGTAGCATTGCATTGCATGCCGTGGCATGGCACGGGCAATGACGCCAGCGCTGCAGCAGGAGCACGAGTCGAAACGAGCGGAAGCGCGGAAATGAAGCCTGGGGCGCGATTCGGAACGAGCGGAAGCACGGAAATGATGCCAGCGCTGCAGCGAGAACACGATTCGGAACGCGCGGGGCCCGAAAATGAGGCCGGCGCCTCAGCCAGAGCAGCATTTTGGGGAAAAAACAAAGCGAACACCTAACTCCGGGGAAGGCTTCCCGGGCGCCAGAAGCAGAAATTCAGCATTTTGTATTGGAATGGCCTTTTTTCGGCGCCGCCTCGGAACTTGATTCTCCGGCGCCGGCCGGAACCGGCTCCGGACCCGGCCAGGGCGCCGGCCCGGGCGCCAGCTTGGGCGTCCGGCCCTGGCGCCGGCTCGGGCGCCGGCCTGGGCGTCGGAATCGGCCCGGGAGGCCTCCGGGGCGCCGGAAGCAGAAATTCAGCATTTTCAAAAGAAAAATGTGTATTTGAATGGCCTTTTTGCGGCGCCGCCTCGGAGCTCGACTTTCCGGCGCCGGCCAAAACCGGCTCCGGGCTCGGCCCGAGCGCCGGCCCGGGCGCCCGCTCGGGCGCGCAGCCCGGGCGCCAGCGGAAATGGTGCCAGCGCTGCAGCGGGAGCACGATTCTGAACGAGCGGGGCTCAAAAATGAGGCCGGCGCCTCAGCGAGAGCAGCATTAATTTGGCAAAGATGCAAACGAAAATCCAACTCCGGGGAAACCTCTGTGTAAAAAAACAATACGCGGGGGGGGCGAACATTCCCAATACGTCATCAGGGGAAGAGGGAGAGTAGTATTCATATTGAGCAATTGTGGAGGAGGAGGAGGAGGAGGAGGAGGAGGAGGAGGAGGAGGAGGAGGAGGGAGGAGGAGGAGGAGGAGGAGGAGGTGGTTAGATAGAACCTGGAGGGGCGGCCCTGAAGGCCCTGGGCCACGACCCAAACGCGGCGGCGGGATGGGCCAACGGCCGTGCGATATCTCACGGCTTGGGGGCCCGCGCCAAGCCCCCGTCCTCCTCCTCGCCCTCCTCCTCGTCCTCCTCCTCGTCCTCCTCCTCCTCGTCTCCCTCCTCCTGTCCGCGTTCTCTCGCTCTCTCTCTCTCTCTCTCTCTGTCTCTCTGTCTCTGTCTCTGTCTCTGTCTCTGTCTCTGTCTCTGTCTCTGTCTCTGTCTCTGTCTCTGTCTCTGTCTGTCTCTCTCTCTCTCTCTCTCTCTTTCTCTTTTTTTTGTGTTCTCTCTCTCTCTATATCTCTCTCTCTCTCTCTCTCTTTTTTTTTGTTTCCTCTCTCTCTCTCTCTTTCTCTCTCTCTCTT